CTTCCATTATTGAAGTAATATTACTANGGAAAAATTACAATGTTAATTAATTAAATATGCCTACCAATTTCGTCATTAGTGGTGGTCAGGTAACTGTTATTATCGACGTAGCTGAATCCAGTTCCAACAGGGTTATCAATGAACAAGACGTTGAAGTTTTTTACCTGTAAACAATTATTTTGTAATCGCATATACAGAAAAAAATCTCAAATGTAGAGTGCCTAAATATGCTAAAGAGTGCCAAATCAGGATTGATTTTGAATGGCTTGTGTGCTTAAAATTAGTCGGCACCAAACTACTATACAGGGTGTTACTTTGCATTCTTGCCAAATTTACAGAGGTTACTATATTACTGATACTGAACACAAATCCGTAAAAAAATAATGACCGAAAAATTTTTTTTTTAATCTTGAGTATTTTATTTTATCGACAATCTGTTAAACACATCACTAATTATCGTAACGCATGCACATCACTTGTTGGCGCTGGCGATGAAGACTTTTTTACTTTTTATTGTATTTTTAAATAACAGTGGATTGGACGAGGGGTCCAGTAGCTTGGCCACCACGATCCTCGGACCTGACACCAATGGATTTTTGGAGTGACTTGAAACGACTGGTATGCGCAGAAGACATAAACAGTGTAAACGCGTTACATGAAAGGATTGTTTTAGTGAAACTGTGAGACAAAACGTTTGTGTTGCGAAAACTAAAGCGAAAAACCTACGCTTCGCCGTGCTAGACTGTGCCTTCATCAGAAAGGAAGACAATTTGAACACTTGCTTCGCAGTACGTAAACTTTGTAAGTAGGAACTTATAAATAAATAATTAATTGTGAATAAGGTGATTTCATTTCATACTTAATTTATTAATTTGTAAAAATAGGGTACAATGTTTTTATACCGACACCTTAGACGAATTTCCGTCACACGCTAGGGAATCAAAACCTACAAGGTACTTCCTGTGAACTCAGAATCTTGAAATTCGGCACGAAGCAACGTTATATAGTACAGATAAAGGAAAAATTGCGAATATGATAAATTTGAAGTTATATAAAATTTAAAATATTATTTTTGCTTACATGACATAAAATATTTTTTTAATAATTATAAACTTACTACCTACCCTTTTTCACATGAACGCGTAGAGATATTAAAGTTGAAATTCATATCAAACACTTCTTAAATCTAATTGCCTCTAAACTGTGAGAAATTCTAAATCAACGCAAAAATTCAAAACGCTGAGGTAGGTACCTACCTATAATGCAAATATAGGGACAAATCGCAACTTTTCAATATATTATTACAATCTCGTAAAAAGCAGTGTGTGTGTGTGTGTGTGTGGGCGCGCGCGCGCGTGTGTGTGTGTGTGTGTGTGTGTGATGGCGTGTGCGTGTGTTTTGCATATGATTGTATTGTATATGCATAGAAAACTGAACTGCATTCGACATTAGCACCAAATACATAGTCGCTNGCAAATAGTAATTGTTTTTTTACCCAAGTATAATTTCTTTCTTGGAGCGATAAGTCGAGGGGTCCAAGAATTTCGAAGTTGCCGATGCCCGTGGAGGACCCCCCGGGCCCCCCCTGCAGCCAGACCACGAGGGGCCTGTCTGTGTAGTTCTCGACATCAGCTGTGGTGTAGAACAGCCAGTAAAACATATGCGCCCCCTCGCGCACTGTCACGTACCCAAAGTCTTGTTTGAAATCTCCAAATTGACCTGTTATAAAGTAATTAAAACATTGATAAAGATTATGAAAAAAAATATTATTATAGATTATTATTATTAAAGATATTCATGCATCTTAGAACACGATGACATTGTGATGGCATTAGTAAAGGTTAGACAACATAATTAGATGTTACCTACGAAGCCTCTAATAACAATCTCATTCTTACGACGCTTGTAGGCCTATTGTTCCATTTACCACCAATTTTAAATCCTACCTAATAGCCAAAGAACCGGTGGCAAAGGTCACTCTAGGATTTCTTAGTAAGTTCCTTTTGATAGGCGGAGTCGAGTATACTGTCGTACCCGAACAAGTAATAAGGTTTGTGGGGTATTTCCCCTTGTAAAAAATTAACACAATGGATCCCATCAACGATTCTATTCAACTCGAGTGTATTGATTAAAATATAAATCATCTTAGGTAGGTATTATAAGTAATTTCATGTGGTAAGATATTCACAAATACCTACTGTCAAAAATGTGGCAAAGAATACAATTTTATTATTTTCTCCTTTACATTAAACATTAAACTTAGATTTAATACTGTAAAGTCTTACCTGCAGCATATTGGCTGGAAATTAAAAATACAAAAAGTAAATAAACCAACATTTTGTATGTATGTGCGTTAGTAAGGATATATTACACTGATTAATTTGAAATTAAATACCTACTTATCTCTCTGATAATGTATTAGCTTATCTGAGTTTTGTGATAATGCTTTATAATTTTTCTTTCGCCGAATATTCTCATTAGCACCCGAAATGTGTTAAGTGATGAAAATTAAGTCATTTACATGGTGGAATTTTGACGAAAGCCCTTGCAAAATAGGTAAAATGAAAACTTTAATGAAAAATAGGTAGACCAATCAGTCTGATGAACTTGGGCATAGGTAAATGGGATACGGTCACATTTTAATGCAAAAGTTGGAAAGTATAAACGATGAAATTGTGTTTATCAACATTTGAAAATTCTATGTAACGTTTAGCCATTTGTATTTACTCTGGTTAAGCTTTTGTCCATAGAACAGGATGGGGTCCTGTGACGCAGCGAAATACTCGTGGTAGAAGCTACAGCAGTCAAGTCAAGACAAAATTACATCTTTATTTTGACGAGGATTTCTAACCTACCTTTTTTTCGGTGCAGTTGTAAAAATGCATTGAGGTGCATACCCAACAAATTGCCATTAAAAGAAAAAGAAGAAGTAAAGTAAATGATAATGATTCGCATAATAGGTACACTTCATGTGTGTAAAGACAAAATAGTCGTAAAACGATTGTTACAAACTACAAAGTATTTTGCGTTTACCATCATGGAAACATACTGAAGAATTGTTTTTTGTATTGTCTTAATGAACTGAAATAATAATAGACTATTGTTTACTTGCAAAAGAGAGTCAGTTTATCCAAAATTCATATTGCACACNCTGCACACATAATTAAAATTAAGTAGGTACACAGTTAAAACCGGTTTCAAACTGGTCGCGTCATGTGTGGTCTCTCAACGGAATCTATGGCAGAAACTTAGATGCAACTCAAAAGTAACCAGAAGTTGCAGTTTCGTTGCAATTGCATTTCACCGTGTATTCTTGTATTTATTTCAATAAAGGAATGGGATAAGATGTTCAGATGCAACAAGTATCTTCAGATTAACATCTCTCTAATCTCTATCAAGGATTGTTCTTACCTACGAGTATTTATTACTGAGGCATGTGATATTCGCTATCTCAAGTAGGTTGTTTCGGTTTATCATCAATGTTTATCGGCGCATATGTGATTTAATAGAAGATTTGCTTGAATTCTTGCTGATTGGCAAAATATTTGACTTTATTTTTTTCAGCAAGTGTAGTATAACTCAACTTTCAGTCTCTAGTCCTTATAAATGTATGTAGACGAGTGTTTGGCCTCTCCTATGAATAGTTTTGAAGTGCTGAAAAGTTAAAAGTCTTTACATCGTTCGTTTGTTCGTTTCAGCCGAAAGACGTCCACTGCTGGACAAATGCCTCCCCCAAGGATTTCCACAAAGACCGGTCTTTACATAGTCATATTTAATTGATTTATTTTATCAGAAATTACCTAAAACATCTGTTTATTGGGTATTTTTAATTAATTACTTATATTACATTTTTAGTTTTCGCGGTTTGCGTAATTTTTGGTCTTAAGTTAAATCTATTCCGTGTACAAATGACTGAAAAACGGAAGAGATTACGTTCACTCCTTATATGGATTTGTTAAGTTTTATTTGGACGTGTATGTTAACTCCAACTCAAATAATTTCATGTGACTTACTTAAAAACATCGAGCACATGCTTTTAAACAAACATTGAAGTATCTTTGTTTGCTTATGTAAGTTGCTTTTTTCAGGCTAGGCGAATTTGTGACGTGCTGTGAAAAATTATCAATTTAGAACTTGTTCTTGTTACGGAATTTCTACATAAGTTTAGCCTTTATATAAAAGTTTGGCTAGTACGTACAGTTGTACCTCGTATTATATTATCTGTGGTTGTCCAATATGTATATCTCCATAGAAATCTTATAGCTAAAAAAACGTTCATTTCTCCCCGTGTTTCTACCCAATTTGTTTTAGCGACGTTTTTTTTCCTACATACGAAAATTTCTCGTACATCAGCGAGACTTTCAGTTCAGTTTCAGCATTTCTCGAGTTTCACAAACTTTTTAACATTTTTAAATAAGATTAGTTCAGGTCCATGAATACAAAAACACTAGGTATAGGGTACATTTAGTTAAAAGAGTCTGTAAATTTATTGATTGAACCCCCATGCGTGTAAGCGTCTTACCGTCACGTGCTGAACGAAAACATGGAGTCATCTTACTTATCTTTTTTTTGTGCCAAGTAAGTATTCCTAATAATAGCTTTTTTTATAATCAATAATGCCATTCAAGTTGATTCATTTCTCATCTAAATGTAATAGGGTAATTTTTATCAATGAAAAGTATCAGTTTCTGTTCTCATTACAAAAAGGACAGATTCTATAATATTTTTTTCTTATTTTTGATAATTGTTATAATAAAATAAGTAATTGTAATTTTGAAGAATTTTTAATATTCTTTTTTAATTATTTATTTAATAGTCATATTTTATATTAACTTATTTGTTTGTCTCTAGCAATCGGCTCCATAATTTGAGTTTTCAATTCACCCGACTCGGATGACGGTGACGAACTAGATTTTTATCGCATCACCTGATTCAGGATGATCTTGATCGTGTGTTAAAAGGGTGTTAATGTTTTTTTGGTATTTTGACGTCACGATGCTGGTTTCATCTCACATGACTGTGCGTGTGCACACTGCACGCACGCGGTTTTTGAGTTCTGTGGTATCAAAACAAGCGGTTATGAGTAGCAGCGGGCAGTCCGCTCGGGTGGTCAAGACGCGTCGGTCTTGCACTCTTGTTATCGCTGGCGCCGGGTGCCACAACATCGCGGTAGCATTGTTAAGTATCGCGAAACAAAATGTTTAAATTGTCGCCGGCTTTTTTGAAACAGGTAAGGTATTCAATTGAGTTGGTTTTTGGATTTCAGTTATACAGGAATGCCATTTATAAATAGGTGTAAATAAATAAGCTCACGTGCATTTTAAATATTTAAAAAAATCGCATTTGTTGTTTATAGTCATAATTTTGAATTTTACTCGTATAACTCTATATTCATTTTTTAAATACTTTTAATATCCTTTGGTAATTTAAATTGGAATCTTATTTTTTTTGTATTAAACATTTTTATTTAACTAAATTATATGATTTCCATCGTCCTAACACCGTTTGCAAGATAGGCATTAACTGTCTGTTGCCCATATTATATGCACCAACTCTGGTAGACTCTACCTTACACGAGCGATAGGTATGTGCTCAGAGTTTAAGTAGATACTTGCAAAAGTGTTAGTAATATTGCTACTTTACAATGTTACAGCTAACTTCAGTTAAACTTCCTACCACTCGTAACATTAACATTGATCTTTGTTATCTACTCTTTCACGAAAAAATCATAAAATGATTGAAGACACTTTTTATTAAAAGTTTTAAATCATTTCAGATAACACAATAATATGGATCAATGATATCCGATATACAAATGAATTTAATTGAATTAGATTTAGGGTTTGTAAAATTCGTATGGTTGTAAGTGCATAATGCATGACCTCCAAAACAGTCGAGTGTGTAGCATTCCCAGATGAGCACCTAACCTATAGGTATTAAGGTACAAATCGGTGAGAAAGCATCATCATTATATTACCTCCTATAACAAATGCAGTAGGTATGTTTGGAAAACATAATCGATACTTCAACAATCTTCACACGCGTTATCTCTGTCATTTAAAAAACAATACTTATCGATCTAGAATATTGATCTGTCATGGTTATTTAAATGCTGACACTTCAGTAACAATTTAGATTTAACTAGTGGCAGTTATCTCATTATATAAAATGACTTTACCTGAGTCAATATGTAACTCGTGTACTTAGATAATCTTTTAACGTTACTTTAATAAATATATTTGTTACATCACTAATACATACTTTTCTTTCTTGGCAAATGAAGATTAGGAAAACTCCCCGCTCTATAAACCTCCAGATCTCCCACAGATCACGCTTTTTGGCACTCCATGGGATGACATAATAATAATGTCTAGCGGTGTAGTGCCAGAATAAACGCTTTTCATCTTCAGATTCTCAACCTTAATATTATATTGACAGTAATTTGAAGAATAGTAAAAGACTACTTAATTCTACATTAAAACAACATAATTGACAACGATTAAGACAAATAATGCAAAACACTCAGCTGTATGATGTTTTTGTCTTTACTGAATGGAAAAGAAAGAACGAATGTGCATGTGCCTATGCACATAATGTTCATGACTCCATTAGGCCGGCTCCACACGTTGTCCCAAATTTTTGGCTAATTGGGTGAATGACGTTGGGACCAAGCAACGTGTAGAGCCGGAATCGAAGTACCTACTTTTTGAAGTTTTTATGATCACTGTTAAACAATTTGTGATAACTATCTTACCTATTTTGTTAACTCATAAAAACTCATTTTATTTTACTAAGTAGGCTTTTCAAAAGCACTTTTACACGTCGCAGTAATAACCGTACCACTGCTTCGGGACAATAAATGTGTCTGTGGTGAGAAGAAACAGCGCAAGAAAAAAATATAATCGGCGTAGGTACACAAGACATAATTATTGTAACATACTTATGTGTATCTTTGTATATCTACATAGACCGTATCTAAAAATAGTCTAGAATAGTTACCAGCACCTATGAAAGAGCCTTATAGTCGGCACATCTGGGGCGGCTTTATTACAGCATTGTGCGCATGATATCACAAGAATCACATGCAATCGCTCTCTTCCGTCCATCGCATGAACTGGGCTCACGTCAGGAGGAAGGTCAGGAGACAATACACACTGTTCTATTCTTGTAGGCAGCCCTGGTGTTAGGTTAGACTATAGGATCTGCCACAGGTATTTGATAGTTTTTTTTTTCATTATGTACTTCAATATAGTAACGGTAGGTATTACCAACGGTACAATTTTCTTTTTACCAATCAGATTGAACTTCAGTGATTTTATTTATTTATTTATTATTTACATCTCTTTTCTGGTCTCCAAGGAACACATATTTTGAATCTAGATTTTATCTTCGTGAGTGACTCATCATAAAGTTACTGTTTGAAGCCATCTATTCTTATTATTTACTAACTCTACATGCTTTTATTACGAATTTACGACCGCGTAGAGAGTATACCTTATACTACCTACGAATAAGTACTAGGTTTGTCTGAGAAAAACATGCTTAAGCCTTAGGGATCTAAGGAATGAGCGTAATTTTTGAAATTTATTCCATTTCACAAAACCTTACATAGATAATAATGATAATAGATATTTAGTATAGATTTTCAGGATATACACAAGCTAAATAATGTACCTATATGACATTTATGTTACAAAATACTTCACGAAAAGCTGTGAAGTACGGCGATTTACTTCTACTTTCATAATAATGGAACCTGTAAGACCTTTCTGTAAAAATATCACTACACAAATATTATCTTCACTTGTTGCAAAGTTAGTAGGTAAATATATTTCAAAAATAAATAGTTTTCATAAATCCTTACGAGTCAAGCCGCAGCAGAATAATTTATGGCTAAATCATGATTCTCGGCGATATGAAACAAATCTTGAAGTAAAATTGGCATACCAGTAAGTAATGATTATAATAGTCTCTGTTGTTAAGCTATTACAGTGACAAATCCAGTGCTGGCCGCCCACGTGAGAATCGCACCCGTTTCTCTGATTCTTCATTTCCCGTTATTTGCTAGCACTATTTTTGTATACATCTTAATGTACTTTTTCCTTGTTACGACCACAAAATCAATTGCTTTATGAGTTACCTACCTATTCACTTATTTCGGAAGAATACGGTACATATACAAAGTGCAGAAAAAAGGTAAAACAAAATATGCAACAGGTTTTCCTCAACCACTACTAAGTAATTGCAGGTAATTTATGTCATTTTAACCCGATATCTTTTACCCCCTCAAGCCGCGCGAATCGAGACAATAGATAATATGTAATAATCAATATTGTTAAGTTATATGCGACCGCTTGGGGGACTGATGGGATAATTAATTTGTCTATTAACCTAAATGGTTAAATACTCGTATGTTTACCTACTCGTACCTATTGATCTTAAAATGCATACCTCACTCTACATGCTTATCAAGGACAATTTAAAAAGTAAATAGAAAAAAGAATAAAGACGTCACTTTCCAAACAAACGCAGAAAAATATGGTTTTTGCTCTCTTCATAAATTATTACGAAATATTATGTAGAGAATCAATACTTTTAGGTGTAGGTACCAATAATAATAAATAAGAAAGGGCTAGGTGATATTGTCTTGATTGTATAGGAAGAGAATTTGATTAATACACAACCGGCTTATCAAAAGTAATTCCATTATTGTCGTGTTCCAGTCATTAAAAAAACTCATTACCTTTTTTGCAAATTGGTCTGTACATTGTACAATAACGTGCAGTCTCTCGATGTGTGTGCAAGTTCCGCGTGAAAAAAACTTAACCAATCAGTTACAGAATTATAAAGATAAATTTAAAATTAAGACACGTTATTACCTACAATAGACTTCTCATATAATGTCTTTCTTTGGCAATAATAGCAATACATATGTCCAAAGATTTCTTTATTATGGCTAAGATCTGTTTAATATGTAGGTATTTAGGTAACATAGGACCTGAAGAAACTTGAAGTAAAATAAAGCGTGAACATGATAATGTCTTTTTTATTGTCCTTCAAACTCTACATTGACATAATCAAATTAGGCAATATAACGTTATTAGCGTAATTAGNGTGCCTATGCACATAATGCTCATGACTCCATTAGGCCGGCTCCACACGTTGTCCCAAATTTTTGGCTAATTGGGTGAATGACGTTGGGACCAAGCAACGTGTAGAGCCGGAATCAAAGTACCTACTTTTTGAAGTTTTTATGATCACTGTTAAACAATTTGTGATAACTATCTTACCTATTTTATTAACTCATAAAAACTCATTTTATTTTACTAAGTAGGCTTTTCAAAAGCACTTTTACACGTCGCAGTAATAACCGTACCACTGCTTCGGGACAATAAATGTGTCTGTGGTGAGAAGAAACAGTGCAAGAAAAAAATATGATCGGCGTAGGTACACAAGACATAATTATTGTAACATACTTATGTGTATCTTTGTATATCTACATAGACCGTATCTAAAAATAGTCTAGAATAGTTACCAGCACCTATGAAAGAGCCTTATAGTTGGCACATCTGGGGCGGCTTTATTACAGCATTGTGCGCATGATATCACAAGAATCACATGCAATCGCTCTCTTCCGTCCATCACATGAACCGGGCTCACGTGGAAGGTCAGGAGACAATACACACTGTTCTATTCTTGTAGGCAGCCCTGGTGTTAGGTTAGACTATAGGATCTGCCACAGGTATTTGATAGTTAGGTACTTCAATATGGTAACGGTAGGTATTACCAACGGTGCAATTTTCTTTTTGCCAATCAGATTGAACTTCAGTGATTTTATTTATATCGCTTCGGTATCAAGCTCATTTACCTTATAATCAAAATCTATAAGTAATGCATTTGTAGGTGTACTAGGTAGAGTCTAATACCACATCTCTTTTCTGGTCTCCAAGGAACACATATTTTGAATCTAGATCTTTGAGTTGTGAAGTACGATGTATCGTACTATATTTTGCTAAAGGTGTTATGTCTTTACATTCAGATTTTTCAAGTAATTTAGTAGACATTTTTCATTATTGTTCAAACAAGAAGCGATGGGCTCCTCGAGCATAAAAGTCGGCACTTTTTCCGCTACTCCGTCATTGAATAGTGATTAGTCGGTATTTATCAACGCACATGGTTGATCAATTACACGAATGGTTAGTTTCAGCGCGTGGATCAGTCAAAGACTCGAAGCAGTGGTAGGGTTAATACTGGGACGTGTAAAAGTGCTTATGTTTTATGACGCCAGTTTGACTGTGGGTGCAAAACGAATTAACTTTTCTTATACAAACAAGAATGAGGAAGACATTGTTGCGCACATAATTATTCGCACAAATTAGCGGAAAACTCGGAAATGCTTTAAATAAATTACACGTGAATTACATCAATTGTCCATGTAAACGTACCGAGATTTTATCTTCGTGAATGAGTGATTCATGATAAAGTTACTGTTTGAAGACATCTATTCTTATTATTTACTAACTCTACATGCTTTTGTTACGGACGCGTAGAGAGTATACCTAAAACTACCTACAAATACAGGGTTTGTCTGACAAAAATATGCTTAAACCTAATTCCTTAGGGATCTGAGGAATGAGCGTAATTTTTGGAATTTATTCCATTTCACAAAACCTTACATAGATATTTAGTATAGATTTTCAGGATATACACAAGCTAAATAATGTACCTATATGACATGTATGTTACATAATACTTCACGAAAAGCTGTTTAGTACGGCGAAATACTTCTACTTCTACTTTCGAAATAACTCCAGAAACCTGTAGGAAATTTCTGTAAAAATATCACTACACAAATTCTTACGAGTCAAGCTGCAGCAGAATAATTTATAGGCCAGTAGAATTAAACACAAAAATGGATTAAATCGGAAATAATTCGGTCTTATTTAATGCAGGATTAAATGCCCTTCAACCGTCAGGAAGACCACTTTTCGAAAGGGTAAGTCCTTTACGCGGTATAACCGGAAAACCTAAAAAGCGCCCCTTTCGGGGGCCCCCACCACTTAAGCACAACTCCGTCGAAGTCGAAAACCTAGGAGAGTCTTAATGGGTAACCAATAAAGCCATTAAAGCAATAAAATCTTTTGTAGGAATTATTTCCGATTTAAAATCTAATTCTACTGGGCTATTATGGCTAAATCATGATTCTACAAATCTTGAAGTAAAATTGGCATACCAGTAAATAATGATATAATAGTCTCTGTTGTTAAGCTATTACAGTGACGCCCACGTGAGAATCGCACCCGTTTCTCTGATTCTTCATTTCCCGTTATTTGCTAGCACTATTTTTGCATACATCTTAATGTACTTTTTCCTTGTTACGACCACAAAATCAATTGCTTTATGAGTTACCTACCTATTCATTTATTTTGGAAGAATACGGTACTTAACATACAGAGTGCAGAAAAAAGGTAAAACAAAATATGCAACAGGTTTTCCTCAACCACTACTAAGTAATTGCAGGTAATTTATGTCATTTTAACCCGAAATCTTTTAACCCCTCAAGCCGCGCGAATCGAGACAATCTATATAAAATATATAAAAATGAAACCCGTTTTCCGTTGTCACGACATAACATGAAAACGGCTTGACCGATTTGGCTGATTTTTTTTTGTAGTTTTCTAATACTCTGTACAAGGTTTTTACGGAAAAAAATATAACGAAAATCTCTACGCTAAGGCGGTACGAAGTTCGCCGGGTCAGCTAGTAGATAATAATAATCAATATTGTTATGTCATATGCGACCGCTTGGGGGGACTGATGGGATAATTAATTTGTCTATTAACCTAAATGGTCGTATGTTTACCTACTCGTACCTATTGAATTGATATTAAAATGCATACCTCGCTCTACATGCTTGTCAAGGACAATTTAAAAAGTAAATAGAAAAAAGAATAATAAATAAATATAAATAAATAAATAAATATCTTTGGACAATCTCACACAAGAATAAAGACGTCACTTTCCAAACAAACGCAGAAAAATATGGTTTTTGCTCTCTTCATAAATTATTACGAAATATTATGTAGAGAATCAATACTTTTAGGTGTAGGTACCAATAATAATAAATAAGAAAGGGCTAGGTGATATTGTCTTGATTGTATAGGAAGAGAATTTGATTAATACACAACCGGCTTATCAAAAGTAATTCCATTATTGTCGTGTTCCAGTCATTAAAAAAACTCATTACCTTTTTTGCAAATTGGTCTGTACATTGTACAATAACGGCAGTCTCTCGATGTGTGTGCAAGTTCCGCGTGAAAAAAACTTAACCAATATAGTCACAGAATTAGAAAGATAATTTTAAAAATAAGACACGTTATTACCTACAATAGACTTCTCATATTGTAATGTTTTTCTTTGGCAATAGCAATATGTCCAAAAATGTCTTTATTATGTCTAAAATCTGTTTAATATGTATTTAGGTAACATAGGATCTGAAGAAACTTGAAGTAAAATAAAGCGTAAACATGATAATGTGTTTTTTTAATGTCCTTCAAACTCTACATTGACATAATCAAATTAGGCAATATAACGTTATTAGAGTAATTAGGTACGTATCTAACATAATCATATTGCTAATTTGTATCAAGTTTCCCGTAGGTGAGCAAATTGAGGAAAAAAATTATTCTGAGCCTATTATCTGATTAATGACCAATTTTCTATTTCCTAGTCATAACGAGCACTCGACCAGATTGTGTCATTTACCTTAATTTTATTTATTTAGGACGACTAACAAGTTTATCAAACAAGTGAGGGTTGAAAGATAACATTTGTCTTGGAGCTCAGTGCCATCTTAATTATAGTCTTCCATGTTATGTGGAAAACGTGGACTGTAACAACAATGTAAGTAGAAATGATGTAAAAAGTTATATATTGTAAGCAAAGTACTTTACTGCTGAAAAGTCAGTTTGATAAACTGAAAATAAGATCCGTTAGAGTTAAAGTAAACAATTTCATGACTTTTACATAATCCAATCCTTAGCATTTTCTCAATCTTCAGCAAAAAGTAGGCAATGATTAGCAAGTGATGTCGTTATCAGCGCTTCACTTGCGCCTGACTGACCTTTGGTTTTTCTGCTGCCCGCTGCGTAAGAATAATTGGTATTCGTTCTTCTCTGTTCCGTTTCCCTAGTAAAAAACATGAAAGTGGATGATCTTGTGTCATTCATTGTGCGATTTATGCAGCTAAGCAACAAGTTGTTTTCTATACGTGACGAATGTGGCCAACATTTGATTTTTTTATTGTTTACGCTAGTAAGCGTATTATCGCGACTACCTACTGAGTACGACAGTAAGTTTTAAAAATGAGATGATAATGGTGTTAATTGAATTTTAGAAACAGGTTAACTTTTTATTAAATTACCGTTAAGGCACTCCCACTTTTTCTTAGATTCGTAAATGAGTTTTTCTAGCAATAACTACACTTCTTACGGACAGTCCCTGTCATAGAGTCTCGGAAAAGTATCTAATGTAATGTAATAGCGTATTGTTACAAGATAATTTTCCCTACCATTTCACGATCTACAAGGACTTCCCCTTAGAACATTATGAGATCATTATATCATTATTTTAGAAGTAGGTACTAAAGCACGATTGTTCTTACCTCTTTTCTTGACATTTTAGAAACGACATCATTACCATTCATTACCCCTATAAACTTATGTATAGGTAAGTATGTTTATTTATCTAACACTTACATAAACCAGTTTCTGTCCATGCAGGCACCGGCATATTCGGCAGAAGTCATACAACAACAATGTCATAACTTTTGCCTTGTTTTGGGTGACACAGGTACACACTGAATGCCATTTATGTTGTTTTATCCTTGCCAAACTTGTTTTAAATGCTCCTAATTAAAAATTCATTAGTTGTATATTATTTGTGTTTTTTTTGTGATCATAATTTCTCTTTGTGATTATAAATTAGTATTGTTTTTTTATGTGACAGGACAGTATGACAACGTATAAAATAAATTATTTGCGACCGTAACTTATGTTCTCAAAATCAAGTTTATAATCTTGATAATCTCTAATGTATGAAACATTACAGTCTGACTTTTATTGTTATTGACTGAAAAACAGTATGAATTTTGATTCGGTTTGTAAATAAACCTATCCACAAAAAAAAACAGATTTTACGAGTATAAGATAAATGCATGTAAGTTCACCCGTAGGTACAATATTTAATTTAGAGAAAAACCAGTTCACCCAAAAACAACCAGTTTACTTGGGTTACTAAAGGTCACATAGAAAGTTACGTACCTTCCACCATAACTCTTATTTTTGTGGTTGGATATAAATTATATTTTGTTGCAGCTATGGCTTACATTCGGCGCATCTCTGGCCTTCCTTATCATCGGGCTGGTGAGAGGGTACTCCGCCTCGGCGATACCCTCGATAGAAGCCTTGGACTCTGAAATCATACAGAGCAGTGAACAGAAATCATGGATTGGTAAGTGACAATGATAATTAATGATATTAAAGTATAATAGACAGGCACAGGTATAGGTATTATAAAAAGTATAGACAGAAATAGAATACATTTTATACACGCTCTTTGAAACTTTAGGCAACCGCAGCTTCGTATTTAGTTCGTACGCATTGTCGTTTGCTCTGGTTAGAACAATACGATGCACCGTGTGTCCAAATGCCGTTTTTATTATACGAGGTTTCGTGACTATTTGTACCAGTGATTTGTCTAATGACAACCGAAAACTCTCGTTTTCACGGTTCCAAATAAATACTTAGGGGGCGCACACATTTTTTTACTTATATTTTTTTCTAATGTAAGATCTATTGCTATTGTAAGATCTTCTTAAACTATCATCTTCTATCCTATTTTTGGCCAGCTACAGTATTTAGCTAATTCAAGGTCAGTTCAGATGCAACGAAAGGAAAACGAGAGTTTGCGTAACATGCGTTGCGAAATTGACATTGCAGTTTGAGTATTTACAACGATAAGTGGCGTTGGATAGTGTTGACAATGTTAAGTAGGCAGAAATTAAACATTCGAATGAATTGAGCACATGTATCAAGAACGTAGGTATTTTAAGTATTTAATGAACGTGGTCCATGAGAATGGAATAAAGTAAACTAAATAAACAGGGTAATAAATAAAACCGTTTAAAAACTGGCAAAGGTTTTTCAAAATTAATATTTTGGGATTTAATTCGAAACTTTAAGGCTGGGTTGACTTCTGTGTGCCTACCATGAGTTTACGTTAGGTGAGCTCGCTAGCGAATACGTCAAAAAATTCTATGAAGATCTTATTTCTTGAAAGTAGCCACTAGGGGCGCTGCACAATATGTCATACATTTAAATGTCATTTTTTTACGCAGTCGCTGCTAGCGAGCACACCTAACGTAAACTCATGGTAGGCACACTGTCTTTCTTACTTTGACTTTGACGAACGTCAAAATCTGTTAAACTCCATACAAAAAACACCGGTTATACACTCGACATCAAATAAATCGCACCTCCTGCAACAAGTATTTTCAAACGTATGCATCCCCACTTCCCACCAATATTGGCACCATTTAAAAGCCTAGTTCTAACCTTCATTTCATTAAAGGAAAGGTTTTTACCCCAAAAATGTGTCTTTAGAAGGATCCAGAGTCACTTCTTCAAAAAATAGGTAGTTACGCTTGAGCCAAGTTTTATGGCTATAAAACTGTTAAGTTGGGATTAATCGCTATCCATCTGTTAATGAAGACACGTGAGATCATTATTTGGTTTTATAACCATAAAAATTGGTCTAATTGATCCCATAGGTGGGTCCAAAGTGAGGTATTTTTTCAAGTCACATTCATGGTATATGTTAATCATTTATTAAGAAATTAAATATGTTTTTCTGTAAGGATATTTATTGGGCTTTTAAATAACACCAATATTGTTGGGGTACCATGATTGTGTCAGAAGAAAATCGTTAAAGTTCGCGTCGCGGAAGGTGCGGTTTATTTGATGTTGAGTATAGTTAAGTTACGGTCAAAGTTAGGTGGTGCAACTCAGCCTAATAGTTTTGGCATCAACCACATTTTATCAAACAAGTCATCAATATTACGGAAATACACTGTTATCAATTGATAGAGTATTGATTCAATAACCGAGGTTGTTAATCCATCGACGACATGCAACAAAATATCCAGATCCTATAATAGGTCATTCAAGCAGATCTAATAAATTTAGTAATCTGCTCTCTGGAACTATTTAGCGGCCAATTTTCAACTCAAGGGAAGGTTACAAAGTCCCATTTCTATGAGGGTAAAATAGGGGAAAGTTAGTTATGTAGAGTTTAGGGAACCGGTAGCTATTGTAGTAACCGTAACCTTTATTTGTTTATTCTACTGTTCCTGAGCCATGCCTTATGTGTTTTTATTCCATTTAGCACACATAGTTATGTCCTCGACATAACCTGCTTGTGTGGTACTAAAGTGTTAGCAAAGTTAAGAAAGCTTAAACAATCAATTTATATCTGTCTATTTAGAAACAAACATACTTGACCTAGATCTTGGCCAAACATATTCAACGTGTATATATTTAAATATATTTTTAGATTTGTTATTTACTATTTCAGAATAAGTTAAAATATAATTGACAGTCTTGCATAAAAATAAAGTCGAAAAACACTCACAATTTGTCAATGTTCTCATTGATGTAAATAAGTAGCCTTTGATCTTTGATGCACCGCTAGAATAATAATAAGGTCATTGAGACAATCCTTGTTTTTATAGATTTACGAGTATATCTGCTAGAGTTATATTGCCGCAGTGTTCAAGTAAAAATGTCATCACAAAAATTACAACTTTTCTACCATCTTTAGCATGTTTGAATAGTTGGGCTGGATTGCACCATCTTACTTTAACTTTAACAAACGTCAAAAGTCTGTCAAACTCCATACAAAAAACCCCGAAGTTGTGCAACTCAGCCTAAGTGTAGAAGTAAGAGATTAACCAGTAAGTCATTAGTTCATTGAACTATTAACGTACAAATAAATTAATGAATAAATAAACTCTTTCTATAGATATTTCTTTTCTTTCTATAGGGGCTATCCCACCTCTGGGTGCGTTCGTGGGCAGTACATTCTCTGGAGCGCTGATGCAGCGGGCAGGCCGGCGCCGCAGTCTGCAGCTAGCAGCGCCGCTCTGGGCAGCCGGCTGGCTTATCCTTGGGTTCGCCAAGTACTTTCCCCTGATACTCGTGGGGCGCCTTATAACTGGCCTGTGCGTCGGATTCGCCTTGGCCCCGGCACAAGTATACGTGAGTACAATACTACTAACAACTCAGAAAAAGTCGCTATGATATAGAGATAGTCGATCCTTAACTTCGAACTTATTCTCTTTTCTTCTGATTATAGTTTTTGTGGAAAATGATAGTTTAACTTTCCGTTGAGGAAAAAACGCAGGAATTGCAGCAGTGTACCCATGAGAGATTAATTAAGAGAAGGCCTACTTACCATTCGTAGCACTTATCTAAGCTGCAATCTTGGATCCTGGGTTACAGCAGATATTTCCTAATTCGTGATCGGATACGAGTAACCGGCCCATATGACGGCTTTTCACTTTGCATCTGATTTAGACTCAATTTCTGTACGTAGTCTCCTACGTGTCTGTATATTTCCGAGGACATCCATAAAATAATAACTCTTGGAAAAATTTGGGTCCTTAATAATAGTTTCCACAATAAACAATATAAGCTATTGTGTCGTACTGTGGATGTGTCAAAAGATAGGTACTTAGTTTATTTATAGAGTTCCCACAGTTAGAACATGCGTTCGTACAAATACGTTTATAATGTTTATTTAAACACTGGACTGGACATCTCAATCGGCAACTGTATTTGGGACAGAAACTACTGTTTAATTTAATAATGCAAACGTTATCGACTAATTACGCCGGGAAAATACAAATTGATTAGGTCTAATTGGTAATTATAAAGATGCAGCTTATGTATTGTTTTATTTGTATGTTTTAACAATAAGTAGTTAGTTACATAATCGGATGTTCACCTCAGAAAAAGTATTGTTACTACTTATCTGTCGTCCTATTAAGATAATAAAAAGAAGTGCAGACGAAATTTATTTGAAATGCGTGACAATAAAAATACAAAATATACTAAAATGTTTGTTTATAACAGAGATTTTAGATCTTTCTTGTGTGATCTTGAAATGTTTCAATTGTTTGCCTGGTTTTTATGATCTTTTTTATTCATTTTAAGCTATGCAAAATATTCAAGATTTTCTTAAAAGAACAGTTGTACGTAGCGTAGGTACTTACATTATTTTGTTAAACAGCCATAAAACTCATTCATTCATCTACAGACAAACAGTATCACTATTCATCTAGGAATATATAATTAAGTTGGTACTAATTGCTGTCAAAAACTATTTTTTAAACATCTTTAAATTAAAGAACGGAGCGTAGGTACTCACATCTCAAAGGCCGGCAACACATTTTTAACTCCCTCGGGTTGCGGTAATCACTTACCAGCAGGTGATCCGTTTGCTCATTTGCTTCCTGTCCCATAAAAAAATGCTAACAAAAGTAAAATGCGAATATCCTGAAAGGTTGTAAAAATACTAAAAATACCTTGAAACTTTTGTCAACAAGCCTTCACGATGAGTGCTGATTATCACATGTGATTCAAATTGGCTATCAATCAACTCGAGTGGGGATCTGATTTCAATCTTCGAATGAAGAAAATGCGTAATCTTGCCTTGCAGTCTTGCACCCACTTATCTTAAGTACTTGGTATTGTTTGAAAAAAGAGTAGCTGCGATGCAAAACAATACGCACTATACTATTATAAAACCTTGACTTTACCCGGGTCTGTATACAGGGTGGAAGCGATAAGTGATCTCACTCGATTATTTCTAAACTGTAACTGTAAGTGAGATCAATTATCGTTTCCACCCTGCATATGCTCAGATGGACCACAGTCAATTAGAAATAAATTAATTTGACAAACCATACTACTTAATTTTAATGTCTTAGTGGTAGATGGTGTATCTATAACAAAACTGTAATTGAATTTCAGGTGAGTGAATGCTGCGATCCTGAAATCCGGGGCAGGTTGGGATCGTTGCCCACTCTCTCCATGTCCTTTGGGATCTTGCTCTCCTATGTCGCTGGCAACTGGCTCTACTGGCGGTACCTCGCCTTCTTCTCGGCTATCTTTTGTGGTAGGTATCTTTGTTTCAAATGACAACGATTGAACTGTTCATCTGATGACCAGTTACCAAGGCCAAACAGGCCGGAGCCCCGCCTAATATCTTTAGGTCATTGGTCAGTTACTTTACAGACCGGCGTGTGGGCCTCTACGTAGGGGCTCAAACGTCGTGGAAGCGCAGCACCATGGGATGTCCCCAAGGATCAGTGTTGGGCCCGACACTCTGGAACCTCCTACTCAATGACCTCCTGCTGCTGCCGTGTCCTGAGGGGGTACACGTAATAGCGTACGCAGACGATGTGACGATCGCAATCGAGGCTACGTCACGTTCTGAGATCGAGCGTAAGGCCGCGTCTATTTTGGGAGCTATGTCCGATTGGGGAACCCGTAACAGACTTGGTTTCTCCCCTGGAAAGTCTCTCACAATGACGTATAAGGGTAGATTTAAACGCTCTCCCGTAATTAAACTTGGCGGCGTCTCCATTGCGAACGTCACTCAGGCGACAGTGCTCGGTGTGACCCTCGACGAGGCTAGGTCCTACGTGCCGCATGCGAAATTGATCGGTTTAAGAGCTGCCAATGGTTTTGGCAAGATTGCGCGTGTAAGCGCCACGTCATGGGGCGTGAGATTCCCCGCCCTAAGTGTGCTGTACGCAGGCATTTATGTGGCCACATTGACGTACGCTGCGGCCGTATGGTACCGACGCTCGTCGATTTTTGTGATGAGAAAGGTGTTGTTGAGTACTCAGCGACCGGCGCTTATTTTACTCACGAAGGCTTACAGGTCGTGCAGCTCGGCAGCGTTACCGGTGCTTGCCGGCGTATTGCCCGCCGACCTGGAGGTCTCTCGTGCAGGACGACTTGCGGAGGAGGGAATCCAACTGGCCCCCAGGGAGCGCCGGGAATTGAAGCGCACCATTAGAGAGGATGCCGTGACCCTTTGGCAGGAGCGGTGGGATGCCAGCAGTGACGGACGTGAGCTGTATTTGATGACCAGTTACCATCAGGTGAGATACAGGCCAAGAGCTTCCTCGTTGTGGATAATTTTTTTTTAAAGTTCCATCGTTGTCATGTTGTTTTATTTCATAAGCAGGACTGCTTTATTGTGTCCTTAAGGCCGGGTAGCAGAGAAAATGGCGAAAATGAGGTTTTCATTTTTCATTTTTGGGGTACTAAACAGTAAAATTAAAGGCTAAGATTTTTTTTGGGCATAGTTGAGGATATTTTCTAGGGCTATTAACGGATGGAAACACGATTTGATGAAGTTGACTCGATAGAATAGATTTGACTACTACTGCTGTTTTTCTCTTACTCTGGGATCTAGTAGAAGGTCCAGGAGGGGGTAAATGCTGGTCCTGGCCTTCGTCATCTATGTCTGTTAGAACCACTTCGGGTCTCTCGAATTTTGGACTATTGGATCTCTCTGCCATTTTGGTACAATATTATGAATTAATTCAACAACAAAAATAGAACAACAATTGGATTTAGAATAACACACAAAAAGATTAAAAATTACGATAGCTAAAATCGGACGAGCAATGACCAAGTTACTCACTGGAATGCGGATAGCGCGATAAGGACGATCATTCTCGGAACTGGAAGCTGGAAGTCGCGCTGCTCTCGGCGAAATGTATGCTTGTTGATAAGCCTCGCTCCGTTGCGTCACTGGATGCTCGCTTGCCGGTCGCAGCACGAAATTGTGCGCAACAGTGGGCAAACGGCTGTTCTCGGTGGAGACCGGCTGCGGATGATTCACGCAGCAGTGGGCCTCTCAGGAACTCAGGAACGTTGGAAGACTTGGGCCGGGCCGGAACTCGGTGTGGTATTGGATTATTGGAGGTCCACACAGTGGAGTCGGCGCTTACACACAACACGGCACACACACACGCGTCGAGACTGGATTTATAGATTTAACTTGGTTTTGAAATTGAACTGTAGACGTTGACCGGGGACTCTTTTTGAATCCCTTTGCGCTGCCACCAAATGTTATGAGCCTCTGGGGATTTGGGTTTTTAAAAAAGAACACGAGATTAAAAGGATAAGACAGCCGTCTAGTTCGGATGGTGGAATGAGACTGGCGTGGAGATGTGAGGGATCGCAGGCTATGGATCGAAAAGGATGAGTCAGCAAAAGGCTAAATGTCGAGTAGGCAATATAGGGTGCGAGGGCTATCTGTAACAGAACGCGTATCGACTTGCAACTTTCATTAGTCGTTATCTCGCATGCGAGTGCAGTCCCCACATGCTGTATACCGAACGAGTTATCGACTAATGAAAATGCGCCATAACGCGTTGATAGTGACGCAATTACTAACCACCTTCCCATGGACCAACCTTGCGGTTATACTAGCCGAATCACGGGAGGTTTGCGCGGAATTGCGGCTGCCTTGGGCAGATTGCGCTCCACCGTGTCACACTTCTTGACTCTCCACAAGTATGGCTGCTCGTCTGGCGCCGCGCCCGTGGCACGCACGCGCCCGCGACCTTCCTCCGACCCTCACTGGGACGACGAGTTCGTGTTCGAGTGAGTAGCACTAACGCGTTGATAGTGACGCGATTACTAACCCACCACCTTCCCATGGACCAACCTTGCGGTTATACTAGCCGAATCACGGGAGTTTTGCGCGGAATTGTGGCTGCCTAGGGCAGATTGCGCTCCACCGTGTCACACTTCTTGACTCTCCACAAGTATGGCTGCTCGTCTGGCGCCGCGCCCGTATCTTCGCTTAGCTCTCGGCGCCGCGCCCGTGGCTCGTACGCGCCCGCGACCTTCGCCCGATCCACACTGGGACGACGAGTTTGTGTTCGAGTGAGTAGCACTATCAGAGTAAATACAAATAAGTAGGTCATCTTCATAGAAACGCACCGAGCGTGGTTTGTATGTGAGCGCGCCAATACGTATGCGGCGCGCACGCACACACTGACAAAATTTTGCAAGGATTAGCGGGGTGTTGCGCCGAATTTTGTCAGTGTGTGCGTGCGCGCCGCATACGCATGTATTTACTCTGGCACTATACAACCCGCTTGAGTTAACTGCGCACCGGCAGTCGTGACGTCACATCGACCCTCCTCAGTGTAGAAGGGGCGAACGAAGGTGTGCGAGGGAGAGTCGCATTCCAGCGAGGTTCCGCGGCTTTCGCCCGACCCGCACTGGGACGACGAGTTCGTATTCGAGTGAGTAGCACTATAAACCCGGTAATAGTGGCGAGTATAGCATAGCTCCTGACAGCGCATTGTCTACCAGCCCGCTTGGCGCCGCGCCCGTACCTACGCTTGGCACTTGGCGCCGCGCCCATGGCTCGTACGCGCCCGCGGCCTTCGCCCGATCCACACTGGGACGACGAGTTTGTGTTCGAGTGAGTAGCATTATAAACCCGGTGATAGTGACTGTGGCGAGTGTAGGTGGCTCCGTGCGCTGCCTAATGGCTCACCAGCTTCCGACCCGCCTGGCGCCACAAGAAGTAGGAAGGATCAGGCACCGCCGGCTGGAATACAATAAACTGAAAATGTGACGTCATCAGCTTGTATTGCCACGCTAAAGAAAAATAATAACTTAAAAATCAATATTCAAATACATTTCGTATTAAATGGTAAATTGGACGAAAACTAAAATCAATTATTTATTTACAGTGATGTGCCTCCAGATGTAACTTCGTTCACCATCACAGTCCACAATACTGGGAAGAGAGGAAAAGAATCTGAAGTAAGAATAAAAAAGATATTAAAATTTTTACTTATTAGTCATATTTAAAGGCTGGTTTTAGTGTCACGCGGACCGTCCGGTGCGGCCCCGGTCCGCACGGCCAATCTGTATGAACTTCTAGGGAGCGTTTTAGAGTAATGCGGTCCGGAGGAACCGCTCCGCTCCCTAGCAGTTCATACAAATCGGCTGTGCGGAGCGACCCGCACCGACAGTCCGCGTGACACTAAAACCAGCCAAAGTTTGTTATTAATTTTTACTTACTCATTTAGGTCGCCGAGTTGACAATAGAGCTCGCAAATCTAGCAAACGGAGAAGAAATCGAGGAATGGTATCCGCTGGCCGGAATGACTCCTATTGGAGAATGGGGATCCTTGAGACTGCGTATCAGGTATGAAAACGTCACTAGTCTACTTGAAATGGATTTATTTCACTTGTATTACTTCTAACCACCGCATATTGTAGAAAGTCTGTTAATCTATGAGTTACCTTACCATCAGATTATATTTGTTCCTTATTGTGACAGATACATGCAAGAGCTAGTCATGCCGCGCGAAGAATACAATCCACTTCGTCAACTGCTCCTGGAACCAGGCTTACCCGCAGTGAAGGCTCTGGCCGACCTCTGTCGCACTGATAGACAACCTTTGGCTACTTGTAAGTATAAAATCATTATAGCCTGACCAGGAACATAAAAACCCTCGCCATGTTGCGGAAAACTAATGGTACTAATTTCTTTTAATGGCAACAGTAACTGAAAACTTCATTGACATGTCACCTTGCATGTCAGTCTATTGCTGTCAAAGTGTAAACAAACTTTATTTTAAATGTGCGCAATTGGTTTTATGAATTAAATTGCTAAAATATTTTTATAGTCGTGAAAGAAAAGTGGTTCACAATGTGTTAAAAAATCTAAAAATTTTCTCAGATAACTATTTGCCCAAGGATCTATGCTATAGGATATAAATGTTTGTTAAATCGTTTTCACAGTATTTTTATACAAATTTCAGCTTGTAAACTGACGCTAAAGTGGAAATTTACAAAACCTGTGTGGACTTATCTTGATAGAATTCTTCAATACTAAACTAATCGCAATATTTTCTCAATTAACTATTTAGACGACGAAATTGCCTAACTATTTATGCCTATAACATATTTGTAATATTACTGGTTAATGATTGTAACGAGTTGAAAAAGTACTGTTTTTGCGCCAAACGGCGTAAACGCTCTTAAATAATAATTACCATTTTGATAAAATCAAAATCATAATTATCTTTATTTGTTTAGACTAATTAAATTGGTACTTACAAATCGTCAAATGCTCTTAAGGAGCCTATACATGTCTCATTCTTTTTTTGCCCTACTACGAGGGCGGCACTGAAAATTTCGGGAATCAAGGAAGTGAAACAACATTACTATTTAAAAATGTATTTATTGCTTTTTAAAGTATTCTCCGCGAATATTGACACATTTTTCCATACACGAAACCAATCATTGAAGCAACCATTGCAT